AGAAATACATAGAAACACATGCAAATTAACAGACTACGAAGTCAGAGACCTTGTTCAAAATTTGTTTCTGTTATATGCTAGCTTCCTGATATAATAAGTTAATTCATGTTCTGAGGCTCAATGACTTTATCTATACAATGGAGATATGTCAGAGGGTTATGATAATTTAAAAAAGATAATCAAATAAAATTCTACAGAGGTACAAGGCACTTAGTAAGGACTTAATAAACATTGATAAATAAATATTCATTAAATTATAATTTTTAATTATTATTAGTAAATTCACCCAACACTTTTCTCTGACATTATATTTCATATAATGTATGAAATTTAAAATTAATAAATCTTACTATCTTAGACATAGAAATAGCTATGTCTGTTTCTTAACCATGAAAAAATACAAAAGGCATTTTTCATTAATTTTTTAATCTTTTAGGATGCTTCAATTTGAAAATCTAGTCACTAGATTTTAATAGTGAGAAACTAAATAATGAAATGAACAATCCACTTATTAATTATTGTGTTTTTATATTTCACAAATGCTAGTTCTTAGTCATTATGAACACATTTTCCCTTTCCCAACTGCCTATTTAATGAAAAATACACAAAACTCCAGTTTATTTAGAGTGCAAGCAATTGAGATAATTAAATAATTGAAAATTTTCTATACTTTGTATTTTGAAAGAAAATCCCAATCAAAATTAATTCCAAATAGGCAAGCTGATTTGGAGAACTTTTTATTTTATTTATTATTATTTTTGGCCACACTACTCACCTTGTGGGATTTTTGTTCCATGCCCAGGGATTGAACCCTGGCCCTCAGCAGTGAGAGTGCAGAGTCCTAACCACTGCACCACCAGAGAATTCCATTGGAGAAATGAAAAAAAAATTTTTTTCAGGTAGCATCTATGAACAGTCTGGTTCCTATTGATACATGATGTTAAAAAGGATGAAGTTGAAGTTCACTAAACATCTTTGAATTATTGGTATAATCTGTGCTAATCAAATTCTTTTAAAATAAAATTTATTACATATTAATTACTTTTGTCAGTCTCACACATTTCAAAAAGCACAAACACTGTGTGCAGAGAGTGTAAAAATATCCTTTGTGTAGACTAAAAGAGCTAGATTACACAATAAAAATATATTCCAACTGACCTTATCTGAAATAGAAAATATGTATATACATCTTGAGCTGTAATGAAGATTGGATATGAATTCTGAGAACTTGAAGACTTGTATTTAGGGGCAAAGTGTTTTAGAAATAGCTGAGGAAAGATTTTCAGCTTTTCAAATTTAGTCTTTAAAAGATAAGATGTATCATGTATATTTGTGGGAATATTTTGTATCCTTAAAATACCTTTAAATGAACATGGCTTCACTGAAGATAATGTGGACAGACTGAATCATCCTGTTGAAAATAGAAAGCAGGGGAATTAGTGTAAAGGCTAAAGGACTTTTAAAAAGAGTTTGCTTGTAGTATAAGTCAAATCATGATGCCTTAAACTTACAGTGATATATGTCAAGTATATCTCAACAAAACTGAAAGAATGAAAATTGCTAAAATGCCAGCTGCTTTTCTCCATAAAGTAAAAAAGGAATTTGAAAGTATCAACTTTTCCAATTAAATTAAATTCTTTATGTGATAAATCTTATAGGTACATATAAAAGGCAATATTAATAACTGACATTTGCTTAGAATTCTACAGCTTATTATTTCTTATTGGTTATCTTTTTGTTTTTCACAACAACTGAGGCAGGCATTATCAAAATCTTCATATTCCAGATGAAAAATCTGAGACGCAGGAAGCATACTTCTCATTTTCATCATTCAACTTTTCTACCAAATCACAACAAAGATAGTTTTCCTTTTCTTTAGACAATAAGGACTGTTTTCTGGTTTCGTAGTGTTCATTTTGTTTTTTTTTAAAGTCCCATGACAGGGAAATGACAGTCATAAATAGTAAAGAGAGGCTGCTATTTTCTCCACCATTGAAACAGCAGCTAATGCTGCCTTCTTAGGACTAAAAACAACCTAACAAAACTCTGCACTATTCTAAGACCCAGAAATAGAGATCAAGTCGATCTTGGCTCCCTCTGGAATTTAGGTTGGCATTTAGGGAGTGGGAGTGTGTACTCTGGCATTAGGGATCATTCTGATGCTCAGTCCCCCTGGTGTTTATGAGAACATTAGTTTTGGAGAACACAGGGCCAGGAAACGGGCTAGAGGTCCTAAAATGTAAGGAAAAAAACACAAGCAAGTTTTCATACAGGACTTCATATTTCATTCAGTCTACTGTTTCTACTACGATCACAGAATCCCTTCTAAAATTTTACTCTTTTGCTAATGTGAGATTATCTTGTTTTTGGAGGGCATTTGTTTCAGTCACTACATAGCTCTCAACTTGTTCCATAAGCCAAATAGTTCTGTTTTTAGAAACATATAAACTACTGTAGTTACCAGAAAAATTAGATTTAGACATGTGAAAAAGTGAAAGTAGTGACAGATTTTATTTTCTTGGGCTCCAAAATTACTGTGGATGGTGACTGCAGCCATGAAATTAAAAGACACTTGTTCTTTGGAAGGAAAGCTATGACCAACCTTGTTGTTCAGTCGCTCAGTTGTATCCAACTCTTTGTGACCCCATAGACTGTAGCATGCCAGGCTTCCTTGTCCTTACCATCTCCAAGAGCTTGCTCAAACTCATGTCTGTTGAGTCAGTGATGCCATCCAACCATCTCATCCTCTGTTGTCTCCTTTTCCTCCTGCCTTCAATCTTACCCAGCATCAGGGTCTTTTCCAATGAGTTGGTTCTTCTCATCAGGTGGCTAAAGTATTGGAGCTTCAGCCTCAGCATCAGTCCCTCCAATGAATATTCAGGATTGACTTACTTTAAAATTGACTGGTTGGACCTCCTTGCAATCCAAGGGACTCTCAAGAGTCTTCTCCAACACCACAGTTCAAAAACATCAATTCGTTGGTGCTCAGCTGAAATAAAGATACTGTGCTACTGGACTCTATACAGTACAGTACAGTACACAAAAGCACAACCACTTGTAGAGGATACACACATGTGACAATGTACACCAGACACATGAACCAGCTTATGCAACTGGACATGCAAATGTATATTTGCATCTTTGAATGTTCGCAACTTGAAGGTTCAAATGTAGGGGACTTAAAATGATGTGTATATGATGTGTCATTTTTCCTTAGCTGCTTTTAAGACTTTTTTTACATTTCAATTCAGCTCAGTTCAGTCACTCAGTCGTGTCCGACTCTTCGCGACCCCATGGACTGCACCATGCCAGGTCTCCTTGTCCATCGCCAGCTCCCAGAGCTTGCTCAAACTCATGTCCCTTGAGTCAGTGATGCCATCCAACTATCTCCTTCTCTGTCATCCCCTTCTCCTCCTGCCTTCAATCTTTCCCAGCATCAGGGTCTTTTCCAATGAGTCAGCTCCTCGCATTAGGTGACCAAATTATTGGACTTTCAGCTTCAACATCAGTCCTTCCAATGAACACTCAGGACTGATCTCCTTTAGGATGGACTGGTTGGATCTCCTTGCAGTCCCAGGGACTCTCAAGAGTCTTCTCCAACACCACAGTTCAAAAGCATCAATTCTTTGGCACTGAGCTTTCTTTATAGTCCAACTCTCACATCCATACATGACTACTGGAAAAACCATAGCCTTGACTAGACAGACCTTTGTTGGCAAAGTACTGTCTCTGCTTTTTAATATGCTGTTTAGGTTGGTCGTAACTTTTCTTCCAAGGAGCAAGTGTCTTTTAATTCATGGCTGCAGTTACCATCTGCAGTGATTTGGGAGCCCCCCCCCAAATAAAGTCTGCCACTGTTTCCACTGTTTCCCCATCTATTTGCCATGAAGTGATGGGACCAGATGCCATGATCATTTTCTGAATGTTGAGTTTTAAGCCAACTTTTTCACTCTCCTCTTTCACTTTCATCAAGAGGCTCTTTAGTTCTTTGCTTTCTGCCACAAGTGTGGTGTCATTTGCATATCTGAGGTTATTGATATTTCTCCCAGCAATCTTGATTCCAGCTTGTTCTTCATCCAGCCCAGTGTTTCTCATGACATTTAGTTAACAATAGTTTGATTATAATGTGTCTGGGTTGTGGTTTTCTTTGAGTTTATTCTGTTTTATGTCCTGCGAAATTCTTGAATCTGCAAGTTAATGTCTCTCACCAATTTGGAGTTTTCAGCCATTGTTTCCTGAAATATATTTTTCTGAACCAATTTCTTTATAGGACTCTATTACAAATGTTAGACTTGTGATATAGTCCCTTGACTCCTCATATTCAGTTTTTCTAATCTTCTCTTCGTTCTTCAGATTGGAGAATTTCTGTTAATCTGTCTTCAAGTTCATTGACTTGTCATCTTCATTCTGTTTTTGAGTTCATTAGTAATTTTAAATATCAGAGAATGTATGTTTTAATATAATTTTGTCCTTTTTTTATAATTTATTTTCTTTGCTAAGACCTCCTAGCGTTCCATTTATTTTATCTCATATGTGTTTACCTTTACCTCGTGAAGTCTCAGTGGTAAGAAATCTGCCTGTCAATGTAGGAGACAGCAAGAGATGCAGGTTCAATCCCTGGATCAGGAAGATCCCCTGGTAGAGAAAATGGCAACCCACTTCAGTATTCTTGCCTGGAAAATTCCACGGACAGAGGAGCCTGGTGGGCTACAATCCATGGAATCAGAGTAGAACCTGACTAAGCACACACATGCATGAAATTTATTATAGTATCTGCTTTAAAGTCTCCTTCATTATTTCAACATATGTGTCTTCTTGGGGTTGGCATCTGGTGATTGTCTTTTCTCTTGAAAATTAGTCATGTTTTCCTGGTCCTTTGCTTACCAAGTAATTTTGGATTATATTCTGGATTCTTTGATTATTGAATTGTGTGGATATGAATCCTGTTAAAATTCTCTAAAGGATGTTATTCATTATTATTATCTCTATTACTGTTTTAGCAGGTGACTGAACCAGTTAGCTTCGGACTACAAGTTTTGAAAATCACTCTCTAGACGGCTGGCAAGACAGCTGGGTGTGCACCAGCCTTGAACCTGCAAGCAGACTCTCCCTGCCCCCAGGGACTCCAGCCCTGCCATGGCAGATTTTCAGCGCAGCAGCTGCACTAACTTCTTGTGCACCCGAAAGGGAATGCTTCTGTTTGTTGAGATTATATTGTGCCTTGTGATTCTGACCCTCTACGGTGCCTCAACATCAGGCTATATCTCTCTGTCACTGATTGAATTGATCCTAGCTATCATCTTCTTTATAATCTACACATGTGACCTGCACACCAGGATACAATTCATTCACTGGCCTTGGACTGATTTCTTCCGATCTCTCATAGCAGCCATCATCTACCTGATCACCTCCATTATTGTACTTGTTGAGAGAGGATATCGCTCCAGAATCGTTGCCGGGATACTGGGCCTAATCGCCACGGCCCTTTTTGGCTATGATGCCTTTATTACTTGCCCAATGCGACAATAAAGACACACAGCAACACCTACTGACCCCATTGTTACCCAGTGTCCATGAGCTGCCTTCATTTCTCTCTGTAATCTGCAAATAAATTAACTCCTTTCCCACCCCACAACACTCTCAGCCAACCCCGAGCCCCTCCGGTATTGAGGTGCAAGTGCCACTATTCAGAGAATTTATCTTCCAGCCTGCCCACCAGTCCTCCTGGGTGTGTCTTGGTCCCCTTTTCCTTATACAGTATCCAAAAGGAGATGCCAATTCTGCCTGGTCTATACCTAAAGCACAACATGGGGCTTCCCTGGTGGCTCAGTGGTAAAGAATCTGCCTGCCTATTCAGGAGACACAGGTTCAATCCCTGGGTCGGGAAGACCCCCTGGAGGAGGAAATGGCAACCCACTCCAGTATTCTTGCCTGGAGAATCCCATGGACAGCGGAGCCTGGTGGGGTGCAGGCAACAGGGTTGCAAAGAGTCTGAGATAACTGAGCCACAGGGAGGGAGAAGAGTACCCCAGGTTTCATATTCCAGGCCCCAGGCTGTAGCTCACTCCAAATAACTTCCTCAATATGTGTGTGGGGAGGGGTGGGGGTGGGAGGCTGGGGAATGTGGTTCTATGTAGGAATAAACAAATAACAGATTGTTAGAATAACAACCAAAAATGCACTTTCTGTGGGCAGTGGTTCTAATCTCAGTTCAGTTTCCTGACCTTGCTGATGCTCCTTCAACCACATACATCTCTAAGAGGTTAGTCTGAGATCTGGTTGGTGGTTTAAATCTTAATTCAAGCCCCAAAGCTTTCGCTGCTTTGTGTCTGTCCCATGCATATGCAGCTTCCCTGGTGGCTCAGATGATAAAAAACTTGCCTGCAACATAGAGAATAGACTTCTGAACACGGGGGATGGGCAGGAAGGAGAGTGTGGAATGAATGGAGAGAGTAGAATGGAAACATATACACTAACATTTGTAAAATAGCTGGTGGGAATTTGCTATGTGACTCAGGGAGCTCAAGCCAGGGCTCTGGAACAGCCCAGAGGGGTGGGGTGGGGTGGGAGGTGGGAGGAAAGCTCAGAAGGGAGGGCACACATGTATACCTATGGCTGATCCGCGTTCATGTATGGTAGAAATGAACACAATATTATAATTATCCTTCAATTAAAAATAAATTAAAAATTAAAAAAGAATCTGCCTGCAATGTAGGAGACCCGGGTTTGATCCCTGGCTTGGGAAGATCCCCTGGAGAAGGGAATGGCTACCCACTCCAGTATTCTTGCCTGGAAAATCCCCTTGGACAGAGGTGCCTGACGGGCTACAGTCCATGGGGCCGCAGAGAGTCGGACATGACTGCCTATGTGTGCATATACAGCACAAGGGTAAGCCAGAGTCTTGTCTAGTTTCTGATACAATTTTGAGACATCCTCTTCTCCAGCTCACTTCTCTTCAGGATTTCTCCTTCACTCTCTGCCCCAGAGAGGCCCCCTTCCCAGTCCTTCTGTGCAAAAAGGCAAGAGTTTTAGAGTAACTATCAATACTGCTGAACAGTTCTGCACTTTGGGCAAAGTCACAGGAGAAAAGAGAGGAAAAAATGGAAAACTCATTTTCAAATGCATTGCTCCTTCAAGTTTTGACTCCACTCTGCAATCCGCCTGATTTCATTTACTTTTAAGAGTCCTCAGCTAATTATTTTTGTGTGTTTTGTCCAGAGTTTTCACGGTAATCAGCAGGAGAGATGAGCCATAGTCGATACACTCTTAACATGGTCAGAACTGGAAGTCACATCCTGATATTAGAAGAAAACAAATTTTAAGGATGTTTGTAAAGATGTGTAAAATGAACACAAGGAAGAGTAGGGTCTTGGTGATCACACAGTCCAATGGAGTTCCCTCAGTAGTTGGAGTAGGAAGGGGATAAGAGTGCTAAGTATAGACAACACCAATCAAGTGAATTTTTCAAAATAAAACACCACATCAGAGTTCAAGCATTCCAGTTATGGAGAGACCTCTTGATGCCCTTTCTCATATTCTTCTTTAGTGGGTAGTTCGCACAAACATCCTTTAGTGATGTCATGTGTGTGTTAGTCGTTCAGTCATGTCCAACTCTTTGTGACCCCAGGGACTGTAGCTGTGACCGTCCAGCTGCTGGGCCCATAGAATTCTCCAGGCAAAATTACTAGAGTGGAGTAGCCATTCCCTTCTCCAGGGGATCTTCCTGACCCAAGGATTGAACCCAGATCTCCTGCATTTAGGCAGCTTCTTTTCTGTCTGAGTCAGCAGAGAGGCCCTTAGTGATATTTAGGGTAGTGATTTAGAAATTATGCTGCTCAGAGCTTTAGGCATTCCATGGAGCCCTTTCTCAGCCAAAGCAGTGGGGAGAGGGTAGGTGTCCTGGTACTGCTATGGGCTTCAATTATAGCAGCCTACTTTTATCTGTTGTTCTTATTGGATGGTGTTGTAAGATGTCAGAACAACTGAGAGTTGCACTGGTTGAAAACAAAATAGAGAGCCACTTGTTTACAGCTGAGAGCCTGTCTTGATCATGATCAGTCCAGCAGTAGCATCTGTATGGTGCTTTCCAGTTCTTCTCTGATGCTTGTAAAACAGCTGAGATTTCTAGGTAAGAAGTGCATGCCAAGTCACTTCAGTGGTGTCCAACTCTTTGTGACCCTGTGGACCATAGCTCACCAGGCTCCTCTGTCCATGGGGTTTTCCAGGCAAGAATGCAGGAGTGGGTTGCCATGCCCTCCACCAGGGAATCTTCCCAACCCAGAGATCAGGTAGGTTCTTTACCACTAGTGGCACTGGTTATTCCTAAATATTCATGTAATCATATGAAATGATGAAAATGCACAATCACTCCCGAAATAAAGAATAAAAGTCAATCATGAATGAGATTGCTGGAAGTATTTCTAGTATTAAATTTTCATTAGTGTCAAACTAAGAAACAGAATTGATACCTGTGAGGCATACCACATTTTTTTTTTTTTTTTGGGGCCACCATGAGGCTTGCGGGATCTTAGTTCCCTGATCAGAGACTGAACCTTCATCCTCNTGAGGCATACCACATTTTTTTTTTTTTTTTGGGGGCCACCATGAGGCTTGCGGGATCTTAGTTCCCTGATCAGAGACTGAACCTTCATCCTCGGCAGTGAAAGAGTGAAGTCCTAACTACTGGACTGCCAGGGAATTCTCCATAACAACATGTTTTGAATCTGGAAAGCACAGTTGTGAATTAGGTAGAAGGAACTCTGTCTCATGACTCCCCTTGATTCCCTTCACTGACTGCCCACTGTTTGGGAACACAGCGGTTCACTAATGAGAAATCTAGACACCCACGGCCTTAACCGAGTGGAAACAGGTCAGAATGGTCAGAGTGTCCTTCCTGTCAGTCACGGCCCCTCTTATTCAATTCAGTTTCTACAATCCCCAGAACACACTAAGGCTTAGGATGAAGAGGCTTGAGACCTTGGGATAGGTAGTCTTCTCAAAGATAAAGAAATTCAGGTGCAGTAATACCTTAATCTTTTTGAGTGCTGTGTGTCAATTGTCTCATAAAACTGAGAGGAAAAATTAGGGGGAAATGTAATTGACGAATTAAGGGAGAAGAAAGAATTTCAGGTAGAGGAAGAGTGAAAGTTGAGGGCAGGGGTGAAGCTGTCCTTAAAGAAGAATAAATACAGTTAAATTCTCGAGGTTAAACATCCTCTTTCTAACAGAGAATCAGGAAGTAATTCCACTTCATTTCGAAAGAACTACACAAAAGAAACGCTTGCTAAGCAGAGAAAAGAAAAAACTAGAGTAAGTCCTATGGATATCAAATCACAGAATATTAGAGAAGAGAGGGACTTCCTTGGTCATCCAGTGACTAAGACTCTGCACTGCCAACTTGGGGGGCCCAGGTTCAATCCCTGGTCAGGTGACTAGATCCCATGTGCCATGACTCAAAGTTTGTGTGGTGCAGCATCTAGAGATGCCACATGCTGCACCAAAGACCAACTATCCTGTGTGCTGCAACCAAAAAATAAAAAATATATATACTTTCATTTTAAAAAGGGGGACTTCACTAGTGGTTAAGGGGTGAAGACTTCCCCTTCCAATGCTAGGTGTCTAGGTTCAATCCCTGATCAGAGAACTAAGATCCCACATGTCTCAAAGCCAAAACATAAAGCAGAAGCAGTATTGTGACAAATTCAATAAAGACTTTAAAAATGGTCCACATCAAAAAGTATGTATTAGAGAGGAGAGTCCATCAGTACCTAAGCTAGATGATGAGGGAACTAAATAACAACACTCTGCCTTTAATTTGTTTTTAAACTCTGGGCCTAGATATTTTTCTCTCAAAGCTGAGAAAATGGGGGTGAGGGTAGGGGGTGGCGAGTGAGAACTAAGGAATAAATTTCTGCAGTATAAGGTATAAAAATCTCCTAAGAACTTTTTTTGAAGTCTTCATCCAAAACTGACTTATTACAGCAAGAGGAAGACATTTAGAAAGATGAATGTTTAAAAATCTACAAGTCCATCAATGGAAGTATAAATGAACAAAATGTGGTATTTCCATACAATGCAATACTATTTATCCTTAAAAAGGAAGAAAATTCTTTTATTTTTTATTTTTATTTTTTTTATTTTTTCCATTTATTTTTATTAGTTGGAGGCGAATTACTTTACATCATTACAGTAGTTTTTGTCATACATTGAAATGAATTAGCCATGGATTTACATGTATTCCCCATCCCAGTCCCCCCTCCCACCTCCCTCTCCACCCGATCCCTCTGGGTCTTCCCAGTGCACCAGGCCCGAGCACTTGTCTCATGCACCCAACCTGGGCTGGTGATCTGTTTCACCCTAGATAATATACATGTTTC